CACACACACACACACACACACACACACACACACACACACACACAAACACACACATATACACAAAAATTCAGATCGCAAATGATTACACTGAAGTAATGCGTTGCCTGTTGGTGCGAAAGTTAAGTAAAGCATAATCCACCGAAAACGATACGTTGGGTTTTGAATAAGAGTAGGCAAAAAAACGTCACCAAATTCTGATTCAAAAGGGTAACAAAAATGAAGCGCATGGACTAAAAAGGGTTAAATCCCACAACAGATCTATTCATATGGCAATTACGAGCATTCTATGTTATCGGTTATTTTTTCCCGTGCAGAAATGCCTGTGATATAAATGATGCCGTTGTCCTGACTGAAGTCGGTCCAGGGTTTTTATGCTTGTGCTTAGCGTCAGTGGAGCGATATAGAAGTGAGACTTTTCAACTTTCCGTAGCCTCCGATTTTTCTGTGCGCGGCCGCTGTGAATAAAGTGTGTTGAGTAGCGAAGCGCACTGGATATTTCAGCCCTACCTTTCGTAAAACCACCCCCTTGCTATTGCTGTTAGTGGTCCTTGGAGTACAAATCTTTTTCGAGGTTACCAAATCCAATCCGCTTACAGACCATTGAGGGCCCTGGAAAAATTTGTATCGTCACCTCTAACCTTTAATGAAGAGTGTGCAAATAATTTCATTCTACGCTCGGCAGAATCAGCGGCTCGCTTGTCGTTAGGACGGCAAGATTTAAGGTACCGATTTCCGTCTCTGTTACCCGTGACCCGGAAGGGATTACACGGCCTCTTGATTCCCCTGTTTCTTTTCCTATGTGTCGTTCCAGGGCCCTAGCACACGCCGACCACGGGTTGGGGACACTACATCCTCTCGTGCCCACGCATCTAAGAAACAGCCTTTCGTAACCTTCGGCAGATCCACTTACACACCTGTGTTCATAGCAGTTTCTCAGCTCACAAACAACCCGAAAGAATAATATTCCTTACTGTGATTTCAAAAGGAGTATCGCATGTTTTATTTGTTTTTCTTCTTTTCTCGCTGGCTTAATCTAATTCGCTGACTTACCCTAACAGTGTGTAACAGGGAAGCACTAAGACTATATTATTCTACTGATGAGGGGAGAGAAGAGAAGTTCAGCGTTCGCTCCGTAACGCCAACCATCCTCCAACCGCCCCAGTAGAGCAGGCTTGTGTACCCGGTGCCCGTTCCCCCAAGTCTGGCGACCACTAACTCGCAGTGACCGCCTGGGACGTTTACCTCGGCCGTACGAGCGCCTAATCTCCCCGGCCAGGGCTGGCCTAATCCGAAGACAAGTGGTCCTTTCAGACAAAAACAATATCCAGGCTTTTTAATCTGTCCACGGCGAAAGGACAAATCGCTGATCGCGTGGACCTAGAGCTGCTGGTCTCAGCTCGTACACTAGGTAGGCGTGTGGGAGTGTCTCCGTCACTTTGGCTAATTGTTAGAGGACTCATTAATTAATTCATTGAGGACGCGCACTCTGGTCATTCGGCAACGTTTGATGAGGCGCTGACTTGGGGAAGTTTAAACCAATGCAAAACTTCACTATCCTATAGTCGCTGTTTTTTAAATTCTCTTTTCTTTACTTGAAGTAAAAAGGCAGGTGACCCACTCTGACATATGCAAAGTTGTGTTTCTGATTTGTGTGTGGTGGTTCGGAGCGTGCTGCAATAGTGCTTTTGGTCTGCAGCTGATCGAACAAACGTGTCATCTGTGCAGTTATAAAGTTATATCATCTTGACTCCACTAGGAGAAGCCTGTATGGTTTGCTTCTTGCCCACCGGGCATTGTGTCGGCGTACGATTTCCTTCAATACAACCATCATCACTCTAAAACTGGCATTGAGACAGTAAATTGGTTCACTTTGAAACCTTAAAGCCTTCAGGGGAGAGTGTATTTTCCTGTTTTGGAGTTGTTTCACGGATAATGCAAGGTACATCCAGCTGCTAAGTGTGTAAAAAATGCATAACTACACCAATCGCTTTTCGTGCCTGTGGTTACCCAATGTAGGACCTTTGAGATATAACTGCTCACTGCGAAAGCAGAGCAGATGAAGACTACAGTAGGAAAACAAGATAAGAATATTTTAGGAAAGTCGAGAAGTAAGCATGATAGTCCATATTTCACTGTGAAAGGAGCATTCATTTTACCTTTTATAATACAGACATAGACTGGGTTATCCGTAGTATCATTTGTGGAGAAGACTGCTCGATTGTTTTAAAGAATGAAAAAATGGTGGGAGGGGGGGGGGGTCGCAACTTATTTCTGAAAGATTGAGACTTATCTGAGTTTCTTATTCCTCTAGAGTCTTCAAATAAATTACTCTTTTAGGATAGTTTGTTCGTTTTTATTTCCTGTGCACTTCTGAAAAACGTGAGCAGGATTCCTTGTGGCAATGTAACACCTAAGTTTCCAAACAGCTCCAGTTCCGAATCACTACCACAGAATTACAAAGTTCTATCTGCTCAGTACCTAGTTTTGAGAAATGTGACGTCTAAGATTTTGAGATTCCCATCATGTCAACATATTGCGAACGCATTTCTTTCAATATTTTGATAACGACTCCGAATAATCCTACAATTTTGACTGAACAGATAGAACTTAATTTGGTTTCTGACCTCATGGTCTTCAATAATCAAAACGTCCAAAAATGTCAAATAGGACTTTTTAATTCTGAGTTAACGAAATAGAGGCTGTTCAATTTGAGAGTAGAGAAGCATCTGCCTGGCTTCCACTCACGTGCAATATGTACAGGGGATGATTGGTGACATCTGAACCCCCTTCCCCCTCCCCTCTTCTAAGTCATCAGTTCGTGTATTAGTGTTTGATTAAAACCCTTTATTGCACAAGGAATGAAGCACTTATGGTAAGTGGTTGAAAATTTCCTAACAAATTGTTTTATGTATGGAAATCACCTGTACGAATTCTCTTTTCTACATATGAGGGTTGGCTTTGTCCACTGCAGTGGGTGCCATAAACTGGGTACATCTTTTGTGATGGCAACTTATCCAATGTACTGGACATCATGCACATATCGTGTATAAGAAAACAATTTTCCTTTCGATTAAAAGGGTATGACAAGAGTAGCTGCCCTTTGCTTCTGCTATTAAAAACAAATAATATTTCAACTTTTTTTTTTAACGAAACAAGCTGGTGTGGGTGAGAAAGAAAGTAGCTCCGTGGCTTGGCCTTTTAATCGTGTCCACTGTAGAATACACTTTGCAACAGGGTAACTGACTTCAGAGTTTACACTGCATCAAGGGAAAGTAAATCTTGGTATGGTGTATTTGTTATACTTTCGATTTTATCGAACAATCTGCTCAATGTTTATCATTAACATGAGAATAAGCCTAATTCGGTTCTATTTGAAGTTTGCTTTCATTTAGAGATTCACCATACATTGCTAGATCTGAAACAAACACTGACCATCATATTTCTGCATTCATCTCTCCTCTTAGAGGCTCTGTCTAAAACATTCTATATATTCCTCGTGTTTTCCCGTCACTCTTCTGTCCAGGTTCCAGAAATACGCTAATCGAGGTCTGCATCAAATGTGCTTACTTTCTGTTTTTCTAGTAAGAGAAAGAGGTGTAAAGCCTTCATGTCGAGCCAAGTGTACTATAAGTAACTATATTTGTCGCCTGGGGATTATTTTAAGAATACGAAAATCGTTTCCCGCTCTGACAGTCTTAATAAATTATAGGGATAGACATTGTGAGGACTCTGTCAGCTAACGATCATTTTCTGAACTATGCAATTCTCTCTATCTTTCCCCCTCGCAACCCCGTCTTCTATGTCTCCATATTCATCTGTCTGTCTCTATCTGTTAATAAACTCCCACCCCCCTTCTCTCTGTCTCTCTCTGTGTCTCTCTCTTTCTCTGTCTTTGTCTCTCTCTCTCTCTCTCTCTCTCTCTCTCTCT